ATTTCAACTTAGTCTAATACCAATAAGAAGCCTTTGTTGTTGACTTACAATTCGATTTTTCCATCTATCTTAGATTCCATCAGCGTCAATCTACTAACCATTTACTTATATAAAATGGCATGCTTTATGATAGTCATCATTAGTCCATTAGTCGACTTCTGGCTTCACAGGGGGAGGAACACCAAAGTCACAAAAAGATTGATAGAGAGGGACATAGAAGAGTGGTTCACAGGTGTAATAGTGACAGACAGACACAAAGGTAGAGAAATAGGTAAGGTAAGGTGAGTACTGTGAAAGTGGTGGAACATGACATATGGTGGAGTTATGGTAGTTAAAAGTGAGAAGTCAACTTTCCTGTCGTTTGAGTATACGTTGTCCAAAGTGCACCACGTGAAGGTTAGTCTATCGCACACCCTGCATTCATTAGCAAAATTACCAAATAGGGATGGAAGTTGACAGTGAAGATGACATTTATAGAAATTAAGCAATAGCTAGCGCCCGAGCCATCTTCTGGTTACGTGAGAAGCACATTTCTAATGAAGATGAGTTTCAAAATAATTATTGACTTCCATGAAGAGAGGGCAAAATTCTCCCTAATTTCATAGATGCCAGAAGAAACCCGGCAAATGAAATTGAAAGTATGGTTGGCTGTGCCAATCTCATCTTACCAAACGTTTCCAATTCTGCTTGTCTACCAAATTAGAGGTCATATCATGGATACCAAACCGATTGGCAACCAGACCAATTGATTCGAATTAAGAAGAGCTCGTTGTAGAATAGGAGAATGGTGATCATTTTTAAACAGTTATTTATGCATTAAGTGGTTCCAACTAAACCTATAATTGTAACTATAGTTTGCTACTAGTGAAGTAATAATTAAGTTCCCCACAAATTACTAAGAAAAAAGTTCAAACGTTCAGGTAATTGGTCACAGAAGTGCAAAATAATATAACGAAATCTATCCCTTCCATCTAATTATGCAAGCCCACATTATCACATTGCAATGAGCCTTTTGCCCATCAGGGTATAATTTTCTGTTAAATTAAAAATTGCTTTCTCCTTTGAGCTATATTTGGGAAAATGAAGGCTGAGAAGAAACTCATAAAAAGTTAACAGCTTCCAGTGGTTATTCATTCAAAATTCAAAATTTTTGAGGACCCTCTTCCAATGACTGCATTTTGGAATACCTTTGAGATGTTTCACTTATACTCAACAACGTCATTGATCAAAAGAGAGCCTTTAGTGTCCAGGAAAATATACTGAAACCTAACGAATGATGAAGTGAAAATACTTCTAAATTTATTATTAATTATAATTTTTATGTATAATTTAAAATTAATAATTGAAAAAAAAGATTACGAACATTCCAGCTTTGATCACTAATTCAAAATATATAGAGAAATTGCGCAATCATATTTTAAATTTAACGAATATAAATGATATTTAATGAAAATTTAAGGAGATTTGTTAAGTGTACAACGCCAGCAGGGCTGACCATTGAAATCTCTGGCGCGCTATCGATCGCATATCGAACAATTGTGGGGGGGGGGGGGGGGCCGAGTAGAGAGTCATCCCAGTCAATCAATAACAAAAATCCGTGCAGTGTAGTGTCACTTGTTCTAATTTACTAAACGTTTTGTTATTAACTATTTGCACCAGATATCATCTGTGCTCTTCCTACCTCGGACGTAGACTTGCTAATTTTAGAGGTGATCTAGATGTACTTTCTGCAACCATTTGGACTTCTAAGAAGATTGATAAAGTTGAGCCAGGGAGTTATTGGTGCAGAAACTGTCACAAGCTAGAATCATGAAATGAAGGACGACCTAAAGACAAGATTGCTTAAATTAATGTTCGACCAAATTTTATTAAAGTCTTATTTTTCCTAATTGGGGGTGTGCGATAGACTTACATCCACGTGGTGCAATCTGTGCGACATATACTCAAACGGCAAAAGAGTCTATTAACTGGCATTTGAATTCTCACTTCAATCTACCATGACCTCATTGCATGTCATATTCAACCACTTTCACAGTAATCAACTTACTTTTTCCCTCTACCTTTGTGTCAATGCTTCGCTTTTACAACTGTAAGTGACTCTTCCATTTAGCAAGATTTCTAACTTTACATTTTGACAATACTTCAATAGCGTTTATTTATTTCCTAAGTTAAATAGTCAACTTACCATTCAAACCAAAACAATCTTTAATGCGGAGTTTCCGATGTCACAATGAGTTCGCAAAAATTGATTTACTTAAAACTAATTTAATCCAAAGTGTTTATTTTAATGGGAACTTAATATATACGATTTCTGGTGATCTTCATGGACTGTTTTCGGTGGCTAAACTAAGCAATCCTTCTGATTGACCGATAAGATGATAACCATATGCTCTTCTGACTAGTCAGTGCAGAACACAAACATACATATAACAATGTGATAAAAATTGTCAAAGGCTTTGTTTCTATTATATTTTCTTCAAACATTGATTACCATTTTTACCGCATATTTAAAAGAATTTTTTGAAGAATTGCCATCAGTGCTAATCCTCGTCTTTTAAAGACTGCAGGTTCTATGTACCAATCTAACGACCTTGATTAGAAGTCTGGTTTGTTAAGATCCAAATTATACCGGAAAATTGCATGCGAATAGAAAAAGTTGTCTTTCTATCAAAATATTGATAAGGATGAAAAGTTTTAAGGACAATTGGAACTTGTTTTATTAAATTTGCATCTAAAATACTTTAATATATTTCAAGTTTATTACTATGTTACTATAAGAGTACAGCCGTCATGTGTTAATTCAGGGGGAATTTTGGTTTTCCTATCTTGAAAAATAAATTACATATTAATTAATGTAAAAGAATATTAATAAACTAAACTTCAATTTTAGTTTTTCACAGCTTTAGAGTGTTATGTTTATTGAATTACAAGTTGCATATTTGAAAATAGCCAAATGTCCAATTGTGATCGTAGTTAGAGAGCATAGTAAGTTCTCCGAAGTCAAAGGCACGTTTAATGATGGAGTAAAGTAGATGAAGCGTTTTAAATGCTTCTATTTGCTTGTTGGAATATTTAGATTTAATGTTTATACATTAAAAACTGTGGAGTGTTTGGAAATATGAGTAATAGTCCCCATTTTATTTAATTATTTTTTTCTATTTTTCAGTTCATATCCATCTAATTTCTGCTATGAAACATTAGTTTTTTGTAAATGGATGAAAATTCAAATGTGCTTCCAGTTGTAAGTCTATTATCGAGTCGCTCTTCATAATTTCATTTCATGCCTAAAAATTGTATACTTTGTTTGCTGTTGTTTATTTAAAATGTCTTCAATTTTTCACTATAAAAAATATAAGCTTTTTTCATTAGACCGTGCAATATAATTTTACATGATTTAATGAAATATTTCCTAAACCTATCCTTTCTGCATTTTGTGACCGTGTTCAAGGATATCTGTGGTCATGTTACACACTTACACTTAGCTTCACTGCTGAATGCGCATTTCATTTTATTGACCATTTGTTTATAAGCTCTTGTTACCATTTAGTGCTTATCTTAGTGCCTTGTGGTTAAGTTAACTTAATCTGAATGTATTTAGTGCTGCCTTTGTTCTCATAATTTATGTGATGGTTGTCATATTCGTAATCTTAGCTTAATCTGATTTTTCCACAGGTGAACTCAAATCAATTTATATATTAATCTTCCACTGCGCTACTTAGTGAAATTTTGTGGTTTCTGTGTCATTTATCTGCTCAAATCCTGGTTTAGCTTTTGTTACCTACTGCAGTAGCTATTTTATATCCAGGTACTTATCCTTTATAAACTAATCAGAAGGCTTGTAAATCGGTGGTTGATTTGTAACTTAAGAAAACTGATAACCGCTGTAATATCTATAATCGTATCGGCGAAGCTAACCAGTCCAATTTTGAGTAGTATTTGCGCTTATCATGATTTCATTAACTTTTGTTAGTCACTCACGATTAGATGGAAGATGTGCGGAAAAAAATGTTATTTCTTAGTTTTATTTATTTTGTCTTCAATCTGACGTCGATATGAAGCGTTATTATTGCAACCATTAAGAATTGATTTATCAAATTCCCACGGTGCAACCGGTTTCGTTCTGTTCTTTATTGTTGTATGTGTGACATTTTCGTCAGGGTTTGTATTTTCAATTCGTTTTTTTGGACATAACTTTTGAGATTTTGTGCTACTCCTTTTTTCTTCCTAAATATTTGTTCATCCATTGTATGTTTGAAGTGTTTCGGTTCTTCCTTACTTTCTTTTATTGTAGCGTCGACTATCGAATAGGAAATCGAAGCCGACTATGGCTGATTTAGTTGATCAACATCGACTTGGCTTTGTTGCCGCTACGAACTCTTACGGCGTCGTCTCTCCTTCGCCCTCCATCCGTCTCAATAATTACAGTCCTTCAGGCAGCAATATTAACAGTCTCACCTCTCACTTTGTCCATAGTGATGTAAGCGAGTGTATTTATTTTTTTATTGAGATCAGCCTTCTATTTCTAGCAAGCAAATTTATTATTTTTATGGTATTGGTATTTTCTACTTATAGAAATAAGTAGGTGGTTATTTTCTCTTCGTGACATCATGTTCGCTCATTCGCCTTTTTTTCCTGATTTCATCAACTCAAGGAGGCTATATTAATTGACATAATACATATATATATTTATTTAGATTTTCTTCTTTTAGCCTTCATATCCGAATCAAAAAAATTCCAGTGCCCAGCATTCCTGTCGCAACTCCTAAATTCAATGCTCAACTACCTAATTGGGTAGGAATTTGATACAAAACCTAGAACGGTATTTGTAGGGGGATAGTGTTGAAGACAATTGAAGTAGTCACCGCATAATGTGGGCATCCAGTTGTGAATGTAGGGGTGGGACGTGGCCATTGAAAGGAACTGAAAGATAGTGGGGGGGGGGGGGGGTGTTGTCTGTTTAATCGCTTGAACTTTGGCTAGAGAGTTAAGATAGACGTGTCAATGTATGTAAGGCGATAAGATCTATTGAATAGATTTTGGTTCTGACAGATTCCATATTGTCTTGAAAACGTAAATTCAAACCCTGAATACAGTGAAGCCTAAGTGATTTTGGATATGTCCATGCTCATCCTCTTTCTTTTATCTCTGATTGGTTCACTGAGAGTCAATACAATTTTATGATGAAAGTGCCACAATAGTGAAGCTGCTTTTCGTTTAGCTGACTCAAGTAGAGAGATTTATGAAATTGCTTCCAATAAAATCAGTACTGAAATGCACGTGATCACTAAATCTTAACATTTTATTAATAATAGCTCTTTTAACGTTGGTCTTTAGTAGGATTCCATTGTGATCTGCCTTTCTTTTGCAGCAGCTTGACTCAGCGGGTATTCTGGGCTCGGAGAGTACTAGGAAGTCTGAATTTAATCTCATGAATGAAAATCCAAGTAGTTTCCCTCCTACTGCAGAGGAGGACGAGGATAACCTCCCATTGTCAGATCTCTGCAAGCGTGTCAACCATCCTTCCACAGACAACTCTAGTGTTTCTCCACTTCTCTGTGCATCCTCGAACTGTTCATTTCCAGTTTCCCGAACGGATGAACGGCTAGGTGGAAGATACTGTTCTGTTGAATGTCTTATTCGGGCTTGTCACCAGGCCTTTTGCGACGCATTCCCTAAATTTACCTTAGAACAGGATGAACGATTGGACTATCGAATCCCCTTGAAGTCAACCTTACCAAAGACTTTCACAAATCCTGAAGGTTTGGTCTCCTAGCTTCTCATGCTGTGCTATTTTTTGGGTGTTTCTTGTACCTTCCTTATTTTGTGTACATATGATTTTGAATAAAATTGTAGTAATCTGTGCCGTTATGGTAATGTCATTTATGTATTTTGTTTTAATGAAAGATTTTCTTCTGGTGGTGTAGGCTTTCTTTGTCTTTGTAGTACATTGTATCTTCTAGTGAGTGGCTTCGTTTAGTATAATGCACAATAGATGCTGGTTTTTAACACGATGAAATATCAAATTGGACCACATAAAGGTGATAAATCGAGCCCCTCACTCCAAGACTCTTTCAGTGGTGGCTGTCACAGTTTTTTACCATAAGGTTACGCACTTCGATTGTACATTAGTCACCCTCTCTCATCATCCATATTAGGGATCACGGAGTCGAGTTCGATCACCAGACGCACCAATCAAACTGGTTAATACTGGCAGAATTTGAGTTTCTCACCAATCGCTCGCCATAGCGCCACTCTCAACGCAAATGATGGTTGGCAAATGGTTTCCAGAGTTGGCCTGGAAGCTAAATGTGCTTGTAACCGTTATTTCTCACGTCTGATCAACTAAAATCGTTGTTGTCCCCATCCGTGGTGACTGGATGCTATATTTAGTTTAAATCATTGAAAGTCTTTCTGCTCCAAATCGTTGTCTATAACAAATCTCTTCAGTTTATGGAATTGATTGATATTCGGAAATTTTATCGTAGACGAACAGGAGAAAAATGGTGTTGTCATAGCTTAACACTGAAAGCAGTACATGAACTTAAAGTTGGCAGGCCTTTAGTATAATGCAGACTGCAACTTGCGGTGAATGCTAATTAAAGGATCAAAAAGAGGAAAGTGCTTTCCGATGATAATTTGAGCCCATAAAATCTTTGTTTGACAAGTCGGTAAGGTTTTACTGATTGACAGCAGTACTGGCAGTCGGCGAGCTGTTATGGTAAACAAGAAGTCAATAATTAGATCGGGGGTGTGCGATAGACTTACCTCCACGTGGAGCATCCTGGGCAACGTATACTCATACGACAAAAAGATCTATTAATCGGCAGTTGACTTCTGACTTCAAATTACCACCATCCCTCTGTATGTCATATTCGACTCCTTTCACAGTACTCACCTCACCTATTTCTACCTTTTGTCTGTCTATTTTACAGCTTTGAAACACTCTTCTATTCGCCCCCCCATCTCGACTTTTTTCACTTTGATGTTCCTTCCCCTCTGTGAAGCTTGAAGTCAACTATAGGACTGATGATAACTGCCAAAACGCCTGCCATTTGGTTAAAAAAACAATTCGATCGGGAAAATATGCCTTGATCGAAGTTTTTCTGGAATTTACGCAATCAATTAATTCACATTACACTGATGGTAAAGGAAGCACTTGTAAGTTCTACTTTACAAATTAAATTTATTTTATTAATTATGAGTCCATTTAGAGAAAAGTGGACGCATAATTTTCGCATTTCACAACATTGACAAGAGATAGATCTGCTAGATTTTGTTGACTTCAACATTTCATTTCGTGGGGTGCGCAATAGACTTACCTCCACGAGGTGCACCCTGGACAACGTATACTTATACGGCAAAAAAGTCTATTGGTCGGCAGTTGACTTCTGACTTCAAACTACTATGGCCCGACTATTTGTCATATTCGCCCCCTTACACAGTGCTCATCTTACCTTTTTATGCCTTTGTGTTTGTCCGTCTGTCTCTTTTACAACTGTGAATCACTCTTCTGTCCCCCTTCTCGACTTTTTGTCTCTTTGATATTCCTCCTCCTCTCTATGAAGCCTGAAGTCAACTAAAGGGCTAATGATAACTCTCAAAACGCCTGCCATTTGATATAAATAAATAAATGTTTGAATATGCTAGACAGTATTGTGCGTACCAAAGTGACATTGGTACAGATATTCCAGGATCACTGGTTCCTTATTAACCCTGGGTAGCAATCATTCCAACTGTGTTTTAGGAATTAAATTTTTCTTGGACCAAATGTTATTTATTAGGGCTTGGCAAAATTTAAGCGAAAAATTAAAACCGCAGATAACCCTTAATTTTAATATCCTTTTCATTCTTTCTATTCTTATCAAGATTTGATGATATCGTTCTGTAAGTACGCCAATCATCTCAGATTCTTCGAATAGAAAATATTGGGTTGGCAACTAAGTCATTGTCGTTTTTGTTGACGGATTCACTCTATACTTTCTCTTGTTTTGTTAACGTGGCCAGAGCATCTAACCTATATTTCTTCTTACTGTATGGGCTTCTAGGTTAATTAGTAAAAAATTTTTTTGTTTAGTTCTCTAGTTTTGTTTTTATTTCAATTTAAAAATGAAAGAACAGGACGTGCACTTCCGACACATTTTATTGTATTACTTCCGAAAAGGCAAGAACGCATCGCAAGCACAAAAGAAGTTATGTGCCGTATATGGAGATGAAGCCTTAAAAGAAA